AAATGATGCGTCTCTTTCGACATTTAGGAGTCTCTACTTCTTATTTGTATGCTTAGAACTCACTCTTGTCAATATAGTGCCATTTTGGATCAGAATATGACTTCTCTTAGAAAGAATCCCAGTTTTCTGATTTTCAAAGGATAGTTTTGGTTTAGCTAAAGGAATAAGAAAACTAGTAAATGATGCGTCTCCTTCGACATTTAGGAGTCTCAACTTCTTATTTGTAAGCTCAGAACTCACTCTTGTCAATATAGTGCCATTTTGGATCAGAATATGAGTTTTGTTAAAACAAGTCCCAGTTTTCTGATTTTCATAGGAGAGTTTTGGTGTAGATAAAGGAATAAGAAAACAAGTAAATGATGCGTCTCCTTCGACATTTAGGAGTCTCTACTTCTTATTTGTATGCCCAGAACTCACTCTTGTCAATATAGTGCCATTTTGGATCAGAATATGACTTCTCTCAGAAAGAGTCCCAGTTTTCTGATTTTCAAAGGAGAGTTTTGGTGTAGCTAAAGGAATAAGAAAACTAGTAAATGATTCCTCTCCTTCGACATTTAGGAGTCTCTACTTCTTATTTGTATGCTCAGAATTCACTCTTGTCAATATAGTGCCATTTTGGATCAGAATATGAGTTTTCTTAAAACAAGTCCCAGTTTTCTGATTTTCATAGGAGAGTTTTGGTGTAGATAAAGGAATAAGAAAACAAGTAAATGATGCGTCTCCTTTGACATTTAGGAGTCTCTACTTCTTATTTGTATGCTCGGAATTCACTCTTGTCAATATAGTGCCATTTTGGATCAGAATATGAGTTTTCTTAAAACAAGTCCCAGTTTTCTGATTTTCATAGGAGAGTTTTGGTGTAGATAAAGGAATAAGAAAACAAGTAAATGATGCGTCAAAATTGGCATGATAATGACAAGGGGGCGTTCTGAGACTATAAAGAGGAGGTAGAGAGTCCTAAATGCCATTTTGGATCAGAATATTGAGAGAATGTAAAGATTAACAGCGGATTAAGATAAGATTAAGAGAGATTAAGAGAGTTTGAATGAAGAACACGATGAAGAGTAGAGAGAATGGTGAGAAAGAGATGATTCTCATTTCTTAGTAAGCAATTACAGCTGTATACAGATATTTAAAGTAAAAGCAGAAAGAATATACTAAAGAGATTCCTAGGCTATTCTCCAAATAAGGGAAAAAGTAAAAGAGAAAAGCGAAAGCAGCTTTTGTCCTTATGTACAACGGTCATAAAGAGGATAAGGGGAGAGACTCTTCTTCCTTTATCTTCAAACGGTCACAAGAAGAGAGACTTGGAGGGAAAGACATCTTCTTGCTTGCTGTAGAAGTAAACCCAAGTTTAGAAGATGATCTTGTATGAATTGTACGGATTGACTTGATAGATCTCCCTTGATTAACACTCCCCCTCAAGCTAAGCCTTAAAGAATCTGAAGGCTTAGATTGGCAGTTAGGAGACTTACCTCATTAAAAACCTAAGTATGGAAAACCCAATGGGACAAAACCATACTTAGGGAAAAAGAGTGTAAGCTCTTTCACTTAGGGGATTCAGAGCCTTGGAGACTCATAAGCCCCAATCTCTCACTGATGAACTCCAAGGTCTTCAAGCTTGTTGCCTTGGTAAAAATATCAGCCAACTGATCAGAGCTCCTGGTATAACACGGTAAAATGACTCCAAGCTCCATCTGTTCTCTTACTTTGTGACAATCCACCTCAATGTGCTTAGTCCTTTCATGGAACACCTGGTTTGATGCAATGTGAATTGCAGACTGGTTATCACAATGCATAGTGATCGGCTTTGAGAACTCTATGCCAAGGTCTGAGAGAAGCATCTTCAGCCACATCAACTCGGTTGTAAGTCTTCTCATAGCTCTATACTCGGCTTCTGCACTTGAACAAGACACAACCTTCTGTTTCTTGCTCTTCCAAGTCACTAAGTTTCCTCCTATGAAGGTACAGTAGCCGGTTGTGGATCTTCTATCAGTTCTGTCACCAGCCCAATCAGCATCACAATATCCAACTATCTCTGAGCTTCCATTGCACCCCATCCATATCCCTTGCTCCAAGGTTCCTTTGAGATATCTCAGAATGCGGTTCACCATGTTCCAATGATATATACT